AAAAAAAAAAAAAAAAAAAAAAAAAAAAAACTGGTTGTGTCCCTACTTTTTTTGTTTTCTTTTTTATGATTCAGGTATTCCGGCCTGGTTCATACGACGGCCGCTTCTGAATTATACAAGCCGGAAAGCAGGTCCGGCGTCCCTCACATCATTGAAGAGGTTTCAGGGAGCAATAATCCCAACGTGAGCAGCCAAACCTACATCCATTCCAGACCTGCACTACAACTTCAGCGAAATGACAACATCCTAAATGTGCACAATGCAGATATCCTATAGGAAGAACAGCAAAGACAAGCCTTACAAAAGCAAGTCCGGTCACCAACAGACTCGCGCAATCAGCAAATGAACTAAGCTAAGTGATACTGGACCAGTTTCAGTGCCTTCGCAAGTCAACATAGTTCTGCAAACGGAGTCATTGTCAAAGGAAAAGGTAGAGAATTTCAGCTCCGGGCGCATTGGAGGCTGTGCTGTTGGACCGTTAGCGAGCCTGAAAAGGCCTGCCATCTGGTTACAGATCGCTTTGTCGATTTGGCTGTGAAGCCTTTATTCTTCTGCACATTGTAAGTCCAGTCAGTGTGAATTGCCTGTTTGATCGAGTACTTTGTTTGCGCCCGGACCATTGGGGGCGTGATTCTCTCTCCTCTTATGGTTGCCAAATTGTGCAGCGTCCATAGTGTCCAAAGGATGGTGTCCCTACATTTTACATGTTCTTGCATTTTTGTTCTTCTCAAGTCCGCATGGCCCTTATGGGCTGGGCTACACACGTGCTACAATGGCAATGACAATAGGAAGCAAGGCTTTAAGGCGGAGCGAATCCTGAAACTGAAACATTGCCTCATCTTTTTTTTGTCTTCTCATTTTTGATGAAAAATCCGGGTCTGTCATAAAGAAGAGCAGGCAGGGCCATTCTTTTGGCCCCCTGATCCAGAGGGTCCAAAGGGAGTCGTCAGCAGTGCTTTCAAAATTCAAAACTAAGCTATATTCTTCTCTCAATTTCATCTTCCACTATCTACCTACCACTACTTTTAAAAGCCTATGCAGGGGACCCCCGCAAGCATAGCTTTCCACCTCTGCATAGGCTTTTAAACTAAGCATCACAATTAAGGGGATGCATGTTGTCCCCCGCGCTAAGGGAGCCGCAGCTACTGGCAAAATGCTGGGTCGTTGCGTTCGCCGGGCCCTGCCACCGGCGGCCCCACCCTACTCACTGACCACCGTCAGCAGTTGCCAAACACCATCAGTACCACATATTGCACTGAACTGGGAGAAAATTTTAGAAAAAAATAAAAAATAAAAAATAAAAAATAAAAAAACTGCACATAACTGCTGGTGGTTAACTCTTTCTCAGGAAGCAGAGAGCAGAGACTAGATCGTTAATGACAGAGCCAACCAAGTTCTCAACTGACAGCCAGTTGGTTTTTTTTTTTTTTTTGTTTGTTGTTGTTGTAGCCAGTTTTCTTCCCTCACTGCATTTTCAGGCCACCAGAGACACTGGGGGGCTGCGGACACCTGGAAGTAGTTAGGGTCTACCAAGCCAGGGGTAGAGTCAGGGCAAGAAAGAATTGCAGGTAACTTCTTCTTCTTCTTCCCTTTTTTTTTTTTTTTCCCTTTTGTTTGTGAACAGCCCCAGCCAGTGCTAGGGGTGCTGATAGGAGTAGAGACCACCCACTATCACTCTCGGCGAGGCTCCATCTATTGGTGGGAAGCAGCACCTCCTGGAAAGACGGTCCAGCGTCCCTGAATCATAGTCGCTTATTTCAATAGACATCCGATCCGATTGTATCTACTGCCAGCCGCATGAAGCATTCTCAGTCCAGCAGGTGACGCTCCCCACCAATAGATGGAGCCTCTCCCCGGGAGCTAGTGCTGCTTGATTTAAAAAAAAAAAAAAAAAAAAAAAGAGTAAGGAATTTGGCAGGTGGAACCCCACACCCACGACTACATAGGAACCTAAGCAGGTTGCCGACACGACAAGATTAGATAGGTGGGGACCACTTGCATCCGCATGATTCTCATTCTACATATTGTCGAGCCCCAATTCCCCTTGGGGCTGCAAGTGGTTCCCAACCCTTGCTGGAGCTCGGTCATTACAATGGCTCTACCCCCTATCGGAATTGCAGGCTGTCATTCTTGTCTGTCCCCTCCCCTTAGACCTGACAGGCTCTGTCAATTCCCATTTTGTGCAGCCCCCTTTTCTGATCGGTGCCGAGGTGCTGAAACGTGCCCGCTGCCCTGTGGTGGGCCTTCATTCTAGATCCTTCGTCCCTGTGTTTGGCTCTGATCACTGTGCATGTACGGTTCTTCTGATGGTATATCTGAGCGCTACCTGGCCCTGTGGTCATGCTGTCGTGCAACCTCTGCCCTGTGGTGGGTCTTTATTCTAGATCCTTCGTCCCGGTGTTTGGCTCTGATCAGGTGTGCATGTATAGTTTATCTGCACGCTACCTGGCCCTGTGGTCGTGATGTCCCCTATCTGGTCCTGTCAGACTCGGTCTGTGTTGTGAATGCTGTTGTTCCTCTGGTGATATGTCTGATTGGTACTCAGAGCAACTACAATCCTGTTGATGCTAGTCCAATTGTCCCCTCCTTTGAGGGCTGGGCCAGATGATAAAAAGGAGAGAGAGAGAGAGAGAGAGAGAGAGAGAGAGAGAGAGAGAGAAGAGGGTG